GGGGGGTCAAGTCTGCCATGTCTGATTACCTTGTTCTTTCTTGTCGTTGTTTTTCAAAATATCAGATTCTTATATATATTGACTCAACAAAAAGTACAGAGACTTTTGTATGGTCTTCTAGCTACAACTTATGATCTAACAAAGCTAAATTCATGCGTGAATGAAGTCATCCTACGTACAGAATGTATATTTATGCGGCAATCTACGTACAGAATATATGTCAGCAGCAACAATAAAGGTGGTTTAACTATTCTCTAACATGTAGCCTCTGAAATTTAAACATTCTTTAATGTACATGTATTTTCCTATTTGAACACACACACAAAATCAAATAAAAATCATTGCGCGGACGTCATCCGCAGAACTGCATTAGCCCTGCCTAATTGCGTGTGAAAGTCTCATTGTGAGGAAAAACCGACCGGATTGTAAACAAACATCAGCGGGTCAGAGACCTCTGATGACAACATTTCAATAAAGACATTTTTTCCAACATGTAATCACAAGACGTGGTGACGGCACACTCAAGTTTTTTCAACTTATATTAATGCCGCCACCAACACAGGGGACAATACAATACAATACTCATTATCACCTGAGCGAAGTGAGGAAAGTCGTGTATAGTGCCTTTCCCAAGGGCACAAGATCAGTGTCAGGACTCGAACCCGGGACCTCTTGGTTCCGAGTCGAGCACTCTGCCGCTACGCCACACGACCCCACAAATAAAGACATTGACAAAGGACAACATATATCAATGTGAGAGAGGAAAAATTTTCCTTTACCGATCTTTGAAACTTAGTTGGAATAGTCGTTGGTACAATTTAACCTGCCTAATTTAACATTCTAATCTAAATACACCAATTTGTATATAGTTTAAGGAAAGCAACAGAATTTCTATTGTGCATTATTTTATACTGCCAATCTCTAATATAATAGAGAAGACAGACAACGCTATGTACGGTATGCACAAGGAGGTTTAAAATCAAAGGTACGCACGAATTCAAAACACAGAGGAATTTCCCCTGGTCGTACTGAGAAGTGGACCATAGCCGCACATCCTGTCAAACGACTGAAGCTATTTCCGGAAGTCAGGTGAGCGACAACAGCTGGGATTCGAACCCTGGGCCCTCTGGTTCGACGGTCTTTATAATTATGCCACGGGAAAGGCTGGTTATTTGAACCCACATTGTCCGAGACAAACACCGAAACAGGTGTCTACATGTATATAAACTGACAAGGTTTTCTTACGTAATCTAAAAGCACAGGTTCGTTTAGCTATATATAGGCTTCGGCTTATTGTTGACGTGTTTGTAGGTATTTTTATCAGGCTCAAGTTGATTTTTGTACTAGTATTTTTTACACCAAGTAAATAGTACCTGCCTAGCAAATGGATACTGCCATGCCAATTTGATACTCTCTTGGCAGCCACCAACATATCTGCTTGGAGACCACCGCTGCCACCAATGTTATATATAGTGTTACATATACTGAAGGTTGCTAGAATGATGTTTTGACCATTGCTTGGGCAAGACTGATTCAAAGACCTGTGGGTCTCTGTCTTTTAATAGTGATCTTATTCACACCAGATGCATTGCTGGTGGGAGGTCACAATTCCTACTTCCTACACTTGTGTTTCTAACGATTTTCAGAGGGAACCCCCCTCCCCTTCCCTCAAGAATGTTTGTCATTCACAGGCACTTATCACTCCTCAAGGGTCTCTTTTGAGACCACTTCAGCACCAAGTCTTATCCGAGAACCACTACTCACATACCTGCTATCTCCTTAGCCGTTCACATCGTCTTAGGCAGAATATCCTGCTGTCTTTAAGGCAAGTGCTAAGACGAAGCCCCGACCCTAGGCCAGACTTGACATAAATTGGGCCACTCCTGTGTCTAACTCTAAGTGCAGTGGAGTTTATCTGAAGTCTGCCCACTTGGGCATGACGGTGGCATGGGAACGAGCTCTCTGATTGGTGACGTCACGGCTGGCTTGTTCCCAACCTTCCCACGCTCTGCACGAGATCAGATGTACAACGGGAAACACAAGCCCGGCCGCGGGGTCGGCTGACATACTCTTCAAGCAGAGGTTGGGTTTTGGGGGTATCATCAGGGGAGTTTCTACTCTTTTAATTCGCTTTTGCTAATTCGTTGTTTTATTCGTTACTGTGAGTGTTCTGATTCTTCTTAATTCATAACAGAAAGAAAGTCCCAATCTACCCAGAAACCGTTCCTATCTAGGTCTATGACTGAATAGGTCAGGGGTAAGGCACAGTTCTGGGTCTTCTCTGCGTATCCAAGAATATAAATTTGCCCCAGCCACGGTGCAGGAACAAAAGCACGGTTCTGACTACCAGAACCGTTTGCCTGATTATAGACCATCATAGAATTAATATATTCTGCATAAAGCACGATACTTGATACTTGTGTCTGGGCATGGTTCTGAAGGGGGAAAAGCACAGTTCTGCCATAGGTAGGTGTGGACTACCAGACCGTGCCTGGGCACAAAATAGAGCACGATACTGGATACATTCGGACTATCCGGAGCCGTGTCTGAGCATGGTTCTGAAATAAAGCACGGTTCCACCCCCCTATAGTAAAGCGTGTGCCGCCAGTGTGCAGACATTCAGGGCTGGTTGTTCCTTACACTGAGTTTGAACAGAGCGCAGTGACCGTGTCTCAAGTTTGCTTGACCTAAAAACCGGCCGGCTTTCTTCAAGGAACGATGTTATTTCCTTAAAGAGTCGTTGAACCAGTAGCGTCCGAAGGGAAGAAAAACAACAAACAAAAGACGCGAAAATAGAAGGGATGGAAAGAGGGTAAGGAAATTTCGGTCAACACTGTTATCTTTTACATTTCCGGTAGTGTTCGGGGAAACACGTGGAAAAATGTAGCCTATAAATTTCTAGAACTAAACAATCGCGAAAATGTAAAGATTGTTTAATAGTTGTTGTTTATTGCAAATTCATGCCCGAGGGCTAATTGCATACAGACATTGACAAGAAAAATGTGGTGATATAAGACTACTTGCAAACATGAACTTCTACGTGTACGATATACTTATCGAACCTACTATCTCTACTTAAATCTAATAACGTTGGTATACATACAGGATAAAAAAGTAAATATGCAATATGTGAACAGGTAATAGGAACAAGGTAACTGCTATTCTAATCTAATTACCTGTACTTTCCAACAGGTAAGACTGTTTACCTGTTCTTTACCTGTACGTCCCAACAGGTGAGAAGATTTACCTGTCCTTATCACCTGGTGACACTATTAGAGTGGGGAGGGTGACAAAGGTCAAACCGATAAACCTGCCCCTGCACCGATCTTATTAGTATCAACAAGGTACGGCCATAGCCTCTACCAGGCTTCGGGAGGCGGCTGGATGGAGTAGAAATTGGCCAAATAGAGAGATAACATGCCAGGGGAGTTGGTCCGCGTGCGGCAAAAGGTACTCTACAGCGGACTAACTCTCCTGGCAAGTTATCTCTCTATTTGGGCAATCACTACTCTTTCCAGCCGCCTCACGAAGCCTGGTAGAGACTAGTACATGTACATGCCGGCTATTTCTGTATTAGCGCAGATATCTGTGGGCAATATTGTAACAGAAGTTCTATTCCTGAATGAGTTATATTGTATCTAGAACGTACCTATCTAGTTCTATCATTTCGTACCTATCTAGGGGTTATGAAAACTAGTGTAACCATATACGTACCTATATCCAGTTCTATGTCTGAAGGGTTATATCGTATAAGAAACGTAACAATATAATTCTATGCCTGAATGGGTTATATCATATCCAGAAACGTACCTATCTAGTTGTATGTTTGAAAGGGTTAGGGTTGAATAAGATAATAAATAACAAACGTTAATGCCTTTTCTGTGGCTAGTGAGTAGAACAGGAAAGGTACAAACAAGTGTTGTTTGTTTTCCAAGCAGTAATATAGCAGTCTGTTATCTACATAGCGACACTGGTACTGATAAAGACTGTGGTCAGTGACTCGCGTATCTATGGACGGGCAGTGATATACATGTAGCGTGGACTCCCTGGCAGGCGCTGGCAGGCAAGTGTTGTACCCTTACCCTTACACTTTACACTAATCTCCAAGCAGATCCTAGGGTGGCAAAAGACAGTCTGAAATTGGCCAGGTAATATCCATTCGCCAGAGGTTCCATACGCCATCCGATCTGGCCAATGGATACTGCCTGGCCAATTTGGTTCTGTCTTTTGCCACCCTAGGATCTGCTTGGAGATTAACTTTACAGATATTTCCTCAGGTGGAAATTAGTACCTAGCTAAATTCTGGAGGGTCTCCTGCGTATTACGCTAAATTCAGGAAGGCATCGTTATACCTTACGCATAATTATGGCCACTTTAATTC